ATATAGTACGCAGAAACACATGACCCTGAAAATAAAAACTATATTCTCAACTTGGTAAGGCTTCTTTAGTTGCTCTAATCATGCAACATTTGTGTATTTTTTAATAAACATAACTATTTTTATTATAAATTATATATTCTTCAATAAGCAAATATTATTTAATAAACAATATAATTAACTGTAAACATTTCATAATATAAATATGTATTATTGTTCAAAACGTAAGATAAGTTTTGACCCGTCAAACCAATATGCACACAATTTTGTAATTTAAGTAAGATTTATCTTATATGTATTGCTCGTGATATAACACCCATCATGTTTGTGTGTGGCGGATAGAGGTTTAGCTGAGATGTTGTCGGTCCATGGTAGCTTCTAGTTTGGTAGGAGCCTTGGGCATGAGCATAGAGTACAAGTCTACTCTGGTTCAAGCTAGCGAGCTGAGCTCGCTTTCGCGCTCATACAGGGGAGGTGCCAGCATGACTTTGAGGTTGTAACAAGGGTCGCTTAGACGAACTGATAGAGAGAATGTTGCAAATGTCAGTAGGTCGATATGTCGACCTGAGGACCTCCAAAGTCTAGATAGATAAGGAAATGTAATCCTACTCACTCGGTAAGTCTCATGGATTGATAGAGGATCTTCAAGGCGTGTTCCATTATGAAGTGATATCTGGGTACCATTAGGAAGTGATATCTGGGTAAATCTCCTTAGATCTCCTTCATGTTAGTGAAGTTGCATATGTAAGAGGATAACCCCTTTTGTAAAAAGGGGTTATCAGATTCTCTTATGATTCCATGTTTAAATTCATTATAGTTTACAATAAAGTCTGACTTAAGTGTCTAGCATTTATCGTGGGGATCGTTCTCAACGCATATTGAAGTTCACGGGAGCCCAAATTGAAGGACAAATAGTTAAATCACTGGTTCATCAGCCGGTCTGGATATGTTTTCTTATCAAGTTGGTGTCATCGTCTGTGGGAATAGATCTAGTCTTTTACTGGTGACGAAAGACTTGGTTTTTTCACAATTACTAAGGATGTAAAGATCATGATTGAAGAAATATCATGAAAAAATTGGGCAAAGGCTGGGCGTCATAGATCCATCTATGGGAAGGGGGGCTAAAGTTGGCTGGTCAAAGGACACGACCGCGCAGGTCATGCCCAGTGGAGGTTGCTAATGTCCAAACGAGATTAGTCTAAGCAGCAGACCTAGCACCGCGATCTACTGTAATACCTGAGGTATCAACTTTCCCTATAGAGATGCCAATGGTGGGGAACCATGAGCAAATCATGGTGTCTTAGATAGTAGAACCCAATGGAAGAGTCGAAAAGCAGCAACTTGAGGTCCCTGAGAATAACAAAGCCCAAGACAAGGTGAGAAACAAAGAGGCATCCGTAGACAGGAGGACTAGAGAGAAAATCACATAATAGAGCTCACAATGAGGATTGAATATAGGGAGTCCAAATTGATAACATCTCTGACCACCGTGTCTCGATTGTCTAAGAATGCTACGTTAGAAAGGTTGGCGGCTCAACTACGTAAGTTGCAGGCGTGGGTAGACAGAAGGGTAGCCCCTATAATTCATTGGCATAGTTTTTCTAAAGAAGTGTTGGAGGACGACCTAACATACAATTTCGAAGAGTTGAACCAGTCTTATCATGGGTCGAGGGACCCAACTAAGCACTTGAGAAGTTTCGAGAACATAGAGGTGTCGCACCTTATAGCAATGTGGTATGCAGTCGAGGTTTCCTGACAACTCTAAAGGAATCAACAAAAGATTTGTTTCACCAGTTATCATCTGGTTTGATCTATAACATGAGAGGTTGATCTCGTAGTTCATCAACAAGTGCTCCACTGCAAGTAAGCCGAGAATGCTGACCTGACGTTGATCAAACATGCAATAGAAAGATAGGGAAACTCTTCGAGAGTATGTTGTACGCTACACAACATAGTGCAAGGAGGTCTCCTTAGCATCGTAAAGAGGGCAGGGGGTTTACAAGAGATGTCCGACCAAGGGAGTGCCGAAACTTTGTTGCAAAGACACCTGCGAGGTGGTTTGTTGAGATGCTAACTCAATGGTCCAAGCATATTAACATATGTAGCTGTTGAGTTAGTTTTGGAAAATTGATTGATAACCAATTAATTTGAAACCTCTGGTCGTCTCTCAAGTAAGACTATTCGAAGCTTTGTTCACTAAATAGTCGCCAAAGCACAAAACGGAAAATTAAATCCTAAATGTCCTAATCAATATTTGGTTGGTTAATTTTAAGTTAATTTAACTATGAATTTGAGAGCTATTATCTAAAAATGCAAGCTTTAACTAAAGATTGGAGCTTTATCGAACCCAGAGTCTTCAAAACTTGAGAAAGATGAAAACAAAGAGAAACGAGCTACATCTAACGCAACTACTTAAAGGTAGTGCAATTGCGTGCGCAAGAGAACAACCCCCTTTGTAAAAGCGCTTATCAAGTTCTTTTTCGATAACCACAAATTGCACGTTCTGGTCATAATAGATTACGATCAATTCTCACTTTAGCATCGAAGGATTTACTGTAGGGACCCCTTTGACGTATTTTGCAGGTTACCGTAGCTCAAATTAAAGGATAGTTCGTAACACCATCGACTCATCAACAGGTGTAGAACAGTTTGCAGGTTAATTTTTGTTTGATAAAAAATAAATAATATAGAAAAGTAAAACTTAAATCCAACTGAGAATCATGAAAAATGAGATTGGAGTAGTAGCATATGCTTCTCTAATGGTAATATTCCTGAACGATAATTTAAGAAAAAAAATGTATTTTTATTTTCAAAATGATAGATTATAATCAATAACAACAAACTAGCACATATATATTATAATTAATAACAACAAACTAGCACAGCCGAACAGGTGAATCAGACGTATACTAAACTGAACTAGCGGATGACTACCCCGACAAAGTACAACTGCTCCCAGGCATCCTAGAGCCGCCAACCAAACTAAAGCACTAAAAGACACAAAACTAAAATTCCCAATTACGGGATAATTAAACTCCAACAATGGAGAACAACACACCCACAACCCGAACGCACCAAAAAACAACCAACAACACAACAACACACACTTAAACTAACAATAGAATATAACCTCTTCTACAACTTGCAAGCACATCGCTACAAACACACCAACCAGCATACGAGTCAAATCCCGCAAGGAGACAAACGCCACAATTTAAAACAAATGAGAACTATAGATCCTAGAACTAAATCCTCCGACTTACTGAAGTGGCTAGTCAGATCTAGCGAGGAGACAAGTCTCGGTCTAGATCTAAGCTCCCCCATTCTTCCTGGAGGGAAACAAACCAATTGGGAGTTGACCCGACGAGCCTCGCCTTGGGAGCCAACGTCTTCACTAATTGGGGGTCCATCCGGACCCATATCTAACGAGCGAAAGGCACCACCGACACCATCGGCTCGGCCTAAGGCTGGAATCCAACAGCTGCAAGACGGTGCCAGGCGAGAAAAAGGGGAGGAG